GGCTTCGAGTCCCTGCGATCGGTTCTAATGCCATACTGAGCTCCCGGGCCAATTCTCTTCGTTCTAAATACTCATTGAGTGACTTGTTAGCTGAGAACGTGTTCAGGTACTTACTTAGCTTCCGCGTCACAGACGTCCGCGTCGGTTTAGTCATAGCCGTGCAATTACGGGCTGAAGATGAAGAGTATATTGATGAACCGATAAGTCACGGCGGGTGCGAGGAGTGTAGGAAGGAGAGTGAATGCGAGCGCAAGCGAAATCAGGCATACGAGTGAGGATGCGTCACCGCCTCCAAGATACGGATACCCTCAACGGCGAGATCGATTGGAGGCCAGCTTTATGAGAGGGCTTCACGGAAGCGGAGGGTGCGTGTTTGGAAGAAGGAATTGAGCGTGGCGGATAAGAAGCTCAAATAAACCCTCACGCGTGAGCCCACTATTGGGCGTCAATGTGCGCCTGTTTGCAGACGTTTGATGGACTACCTTGGGCCCCTAGCATTTGATCAGAAGAAACCGGTATAATTTCTCGTAAGCATAGAGAAATTTACATTACCTGCAGTCAATGAAGGGAGGGCGATTCCCCCAAGCGGACTTCCATAAGTGGTTCGGGGAGCCGAGGGTTTGGACGCGCATGCGCATAGTCGGTCATTGAAAGATGTGGCACTCATTGGCGCCGACTTTGCACCTTACTGAGAAACCATGAAAGCGCCGGCGTGCAGACAGCGTAGGATCCACAACATGAACCTGTAGATTTTGATTAGCAGCCGGTCCGTATGAGGTAGTTTGGGCCAAGACCGGAGGAGGAGAAAACGTGCAGCGTCCAGGTGGAGGTCGACCACGTACCCTCTTAGACAACCAGTTCCGGCTCCACATCCGAAGTTGAGAAAGCGATGAAGAAGGGGCTAGGAGAGCGCAGAGGAGTCGACGCGACGGGCGAGGTGGTAATGCCATGTTCAAAGGAACGGGCATCAACGAGCGCCAGCCACGGCCTAGTCCATCTGCGGTTTCTGAGCATAGCGTTGTCATGTCCCTTTCGGGATGACTGGGAGTCCGCGGCAACAAGTTGCAGGCGAGGGTGTCGGATCGAGCGGCCTGGTGGCTGACAGGGCCGTCTATTTGCAAAACGATTGACGTGTGGCGCTGCGTTGCTCACATGCCCCGGCGACTCACACGCACGGCATCCGCACCCGAGGAAACCAACATATCCCAGAACGCGGCGCAGGGCGCAGGGTATAACGCGGCAGGGCAGACGCGAAGTGTCATCGGTACACGCGGATGGCTGCTTTGGGAACCCCCTACCCACAGACCGACCGGATGATGAGCGTCGGTTCATCTTGAGATTTATTACATTGAATATATACTTACCTCTAATCTGCCCCTGTAAAAGATGCTGAATACGGGGCTCACACGCGCAGAACCGCGCAAGAACCGTCGTCGAACAGTGATGGCGACCGAAAAGACCAACGAACGTTCGAAGCCATCGAAGACGGCCGATTCAAGAATAACAAAAGGAATACTAATTCTGAATCACAAATTATGAGATGAGTTAGACTGAGAGTAGCAGCCGCGTCTGCGACGTTCCCGTCGTGGCACAAGTGAAGGGCGACGTCAAGACGCGACGACGCGACGACGCGATCACTGCGGGACATCGAGCGTGAATTTCCAGTCACACTTACCAACAAACCACCATCTCGGGACCGATACTCGTCCACGGACCAGCATTTCCCTCTTGTATCGCGGTCGATGATGGCATGATGGAGGCTCGTGGACCATTGTGGGGCTTAGTGGTAGTGGTGAGCTAGAATTCTTATTTAGTAATGCTCTGCGAGCGCTAATGCTTGGGCGGCTGTAAGGTGAGGCGCATGAAGCGCCTGAGACTGCGATGGCGACGAGGGTGGCGAGTATGTCGCCCTCGTCGAGCATCTACGCGCTCT